AGAGAGAGAGAGAGAGAGATCTGGGTGCTGGTGATGTTATCTGAGCCCCCAGATTAAGTTGCATCTCTGGAATGTTGTTTTAATAGATGGGGGTCTCATGTGAGATTGGCCTCAGACTTGAGATTCTTCTGCTTCAGCTTTCTGGGTGCTGGGGTTTTAGGCATGAGTCAGGTAATTTATTTGAGCAAGTACTTTTCTAGTTTTTTTCTCCTACTGGGTCAAAATTAAATTTTGTGTCATTTTTAAGGAAAACATAAAATCCAGCCTGACCTGTGGTTGTTCACAGGGTCAGTCAACATGTTTAGACAATTTACTAAAATGGAAATGATAATAGTGCTGTCTATAAATGTCCCAGGTTTCTCCTGGTGACTCCTTTGAGCTGGAGCACTAACCTCTGGGAAGAGTAGAGATTTACCTGCATGAGCGCTCTGCATGTGTTACAACAGAAGGCTTCCCACTTGGGCTCTGCAGCTGCTCTGAGCGTCTCAGTGTGACAAGCTGGACAGATGCAGTCAAAGAAGTACTGAGAACTCAGCTTCTTCTGTCTCTCAGCAACACCCATCCGGCTCTCATGAGGCCCTGGAGAGAGGTCACCCATAGTTACTGCTCACATCAAGAGAGTCAAAGCCTACTCAACAGAGGAGCTTGGGACAGTCACCATGTGACCGAAATGATGGAACTGGGTGGGGCTCTGGCTCAGTGATAGACAGTGAGGCTCGGCACTATCCTATCATCTCAAAAGAACAACACATGGGTGGGAGTGGACAAGCTTCCAAGCTGCTGGGGCAGGAAGAAGAAGCAGCTGAGAAGACAGGCAGTGTACAGTGTTCAGCATTGAGAGACATGGCTCACTGTCCTCAATAGGCCTTTTTATTATGGTCAGAAGACCTTTCTCATTGGCCTGAGGATGCATTGCCTTCTCTAGGAAAAACACAGGAGGAGTAGGAGGCACTGGTCCAGTGCCTGCTCATTCCTGTCCACTTATCCTTTTCAGGTGGCGCAGGGCAGGGCAGTGGAAAGAAAGGCTGGCTCACCATAGCAGTGCACAATCTCTTGTCCTTTTCTGATCTGCTGTGTTGCCCGGATGGTGGCGACAGTGCTAGTGAAGGACACACTAGTGTTGGGGCTGCAGGAGTGGTTCAGGAGGCTGACAACAGGGAAGATGCCTGTGGCAAGGCGAACCTGCCTGCTGTTGGTAATGACGTTCTCTCTAGACCCTGAAGGTGCAAGAACAGAGGAAACATGCATCAGGACATTTGTCCTGTCCTTACCATCTATTCTCAGAAGATGAACTGAGCAGCTGGGCCTGAAGCCCATCTGAGTCATGGCTCTGCAGCCGGATCCAATATAAATCGGATGGAACATGACTCATAGCAAACTCTGGTCCCCAGGAAGCAAAGTGAATGAGTACACGAAAGGTCCCCTGGAGCCTAACCATTATGCCTGTATGTCACTCAAAAATCCCAATATTAGAATTTATA